GACAGCTTCTGTACGTCAGAAGTATGGCATACGGTCGAGGTCATCCCGGTTACTAAATCAAGAGATCTCGGTTTTTGTGGAAAGCTAGAAGAGTCAAGATTCGTCTCGAAGTGGAATCAGAGCTTTTCAACGAGCCGTTAGGAAGTTATGACCAGAAGAGTGAAGACATGTCCAGACCGGCCAGAAGCTATGCAACCGATCCGGAGCTTCTGGGCCACACCGGCCACTTGGGCCGAGCCTGGGCTGCCTCTCGCTCTCCACACCGGCCCTTAAGACTTCTCCCTTGCATGAAACTCGAGTTTGCACTTAAACCTAATCACGGGAAAAGATGCTTTTACCCCTAGACCTAATTCTTGGTCTTCAAACCCTATAAATACATGTTGAAGCCCTAGCCCTAGGTGTGCCTTCGAAGAGCCTCCACCGTGCCTATCAAGTCTTCTCTGCCCTCACCGTGAGCTGCAGCCGTCGTTCCTTGAAGCTTTGAAGAATCACCGAATCTCTCTCTCTTTTCTCTTGTTTACTCTAAGATCTATTAAGGTGAAGTCTTACCTCTTTTATTTTACATTCAAAGAAGTAATCTCTAAACCCTATTCAGTTCTTATTCTTCTCTTTCTAATGAGTTTATCAAACCTAACTTTGATGATCACTTTAACCATGCTAGAGTAGTTTTCTAGTTGGGTTTAAAGGGTTAATCAAAGGGGGGAATATGGCCGATCATTTAGGTGGCAATATCTAGGGTTTTGTTTGATCGTTTACACTGTATTCTTTCTAAGTAAGTTGTTTCTTAATGCATGTAGTTAGATTCATGTCCTAACTCGTGATCCCAAGTGTTTAAATTGCTCACAAGGTTGTTTAATACGCTAGACCTAGCTTACGAATGTGTATCGTGTTATAACAAGCACACACCACTTAGTTATAGGGCTTTATGGACTAGAATCGAACTTGATCTTATTGCTTTGATATATGCGTCGTTGCCTGCGTTAGTTGAGTAACGGAGTATAAGGATTTTAGCCGACTTATCCTATAACCTAGTATAAGCCGAATCTTAGTGTTTCGTATGTCCGAGACTTGGAAGTAAACAAACCTAATTCTAGTATTACTTAGATAGCGATCATTGAACCCCCTGCGATACCCTTGATGCCCAACGTTTGTCTCTTATTGATTTACTTGCTTTGTTTCCCGCGTTCCTTTACTTGCTTTCTTTACTTGCTTTCTTATTTTTTACTTGCAAATCGTGACACCACAACCAACTCCTTTTATTTGTTTGTTCTAGCTTTACTTGTCTTAATAAGCTTGTCCGAACTACTTCTCTCTCTGTGGATTCGATACCCTAAGTACTACGATTGATTGCTATGCACTTGCAGCTTATTAATTGTGTTATTTGGGATTTTTAAAACCTGATACACGTCCCGCGACACGATCATGTTTTTGGCGCCGTTGCCGGGGAGAGATTGTTAGTTCCACAAGTTTAAGGATTAGGTAAACTCTAGGACTTTTGCTTTTTAAGTTTTGATTTTCACTGTTTCAGAAAACCTTAAGGATGATTCCAATAGCTTTTCTCGAGGAATATCAAAACCTCAACTCAAATTGAGGTTGATGACGAGTGCGTTGCTGGAGATTTTGATCACGTATGTGATAGTTGTTTCATTTACAAAGAAATTTTCCGTTTCATATACTATATGCACTATGTTTAAGTGAAGTTTGTTTTCTTTTGGTTTAGACACATATTTCCTTTAGAACACATTATGTAGACACAACTTATTCACATTTGAAATTTTTATTGATAATTTTAAAATTTTAAATTCATGCCTTCTGTTAAATTTAAAACAGTTTCTGATTGTCGATTAAGTATCAGAAGAAAAAAAAAATAGAGTATTATATATAGAATCTAACCATATTATATATAGAAACTAACCTTCATCATGGTAGAGAATTCATTGTTTCGGTATAAGACACAGTTTTGATCTCCATAAGCAATACACCAAACACAAACACATCTGGCTTCTCATCTACGATAACGTGCATAAAGAACCAACCAGGTTTTGGACTCAAAAACATCGAGAAGAAAGGTTCACATAAAGATATTGTAGCTGTGGAATTCAACGTCTGACCCGAATGTGCATTCGTTAGGGAAAACAATGGGATGAGGCGAATTCTCTAGGAACCACTTAAGTAGTCCAAAATCTGAAATCTGCAAACCCAATTCACATCAAATTCTCAGTACATACACAAAAAAATTTGATTGCATTTTGTTGCATCAATCAATACTTGAGCTTCGTAATCTCGGCATAGCAAAATGTTGGAAGCTTTGATGTGACGATTGAATAATCCTAAGATCAACAAATATAAACTTTAAGGATCGAATTTTGTCAGAAACAAACTTCACCAAAGACCTTGATAACTACATCAACCTTCTTTTTGAATTATCAATTTTCAGATTTTGATAAAAATACCCAAAATCAGCAGATCCTTGATCTTGTTGCTGACTCAACAAATGAAGAAAGTGAAGAAATCCAATAACCCACCCCACCAACTATCCAGAGCTTCTCAACTTTATTATTCACCAAATCAAGCTCCCAAACACAACTCTGTTATAGAACTAGCTCTATTTAACCAAAACCCATAAGCCTATTTCAACAAAACCTAGCACATTTGGGGTTATAACCAAGATTTAAAAAAAAAACCAAGATGAACCATATATAAATTTAAAAAGCCCAAGATGATGATGTCAGAAAATGATGTGGAATAGGGGAGGATTTCTCCTAGACGAAAATAATGACTTGTATTAATTGTTATAATTTGATTGGACAGTAGTTCTTAATGATGTGTCATGCTGAGAACAGCTTAAAAAGCTGATGTGTCAACCTAAGAGAGAACCTATTGTTATTATTGTATTGACTAGAAAATGCACCACGCTTTGCGTAGGTTTGAAATTAAAATAATATATAAAATATTTTGTGAGTAAATATACATTATAAATAGTAAGCTACCTTTTCAAAAATTAATTATTTTTATATTCGGTCCAAAATACCTCGGTATGCTTAGATACTTTGAGAAAACAACTTATTTTCTTTAGTAAATGGAAAGTAGTTATGCAAATTATTTTGTTTGAAAAATGTGTGTAGTTTGAAAATAAATTTTGAAGTATTTTTTACTATTTCATTACTCATTGAACTCATATTTCTTACATATACTTGAGTTTTACTATTTATGAGTTCATATGTTGTGAAACACTAAGGGGAGTGTATTCAAACAATGATTTTTAAAATTTTTGGGTTTTTGTAAAAATCACCCGTTATTAAATTAGTGATTTTAAAATCTCTTCGCAAATTCCATGTTATTGAAACTGGAATTTATATAAAATCACTTCGAATAATTCCAAATTTCTTGTTATTCAATTAAGAATTTATAAAAACCAAAGCAAATCCACTGTTATTCAAACTTCACAAAATGTTTTTAGAAAAATACTGAAAATAGATTTGGAGAGACTTTGGACACTTTTTTAGTGCAAAAATAATAATAAAACAATACCACCTCTAGAGGTGGTATTTGGTTAAAAAGAAAGTCCACAAAAAGCATACGAACGACCAATTTTTTCTCTTCCTTCTCATCTTTCTATCTTTTTCAATTTTCTCTCTTCCTTCTTGTCTTTCTATCTCTCTCGATCTCGATTTTACTTTCAAGTTCTCTCTCACTCTCTCATATCAAGCATTCTCAAGTATCCAATCGAATCCACTTGTAACAGCAATGACGAATCCAATCCTCATGTTTATGAGCATGGCTCTTTATCTCATCATTTTCATGTTTAATCGCTATATGAGTGATTCTGTTTAATTCCTTGAATCTTATTAGATATTATTAGATATTGTATGGAAAAGGCCCTCTTTGACATGGCTGGAAAGTTTTATAAATTATAAATCTGTTTCCAATAAGCTCATGATGCAAATAGATCTAATACCATCGCCTACGTATACTTATAAAGTTTGTTTATACAATTTATAATATTTCATTAATAAATAAACATAGTGGGCTAACTTTTTTGGATTAAAGTAAAATTATGGGCTTCTCAGTTTGTTTTTTTTTGTTTTTCCAATTAGGGTTAATGGCTTGGTGGTGATATATATACACGATCAATGGCTTTGTTTTTCTTAGAGGAGGAACTTACAAAACTGATATCTTCAAGCTTTCATCCTCTTCTCTGTCAAAGTCAGTATTTCTCTTAATTATTTACGATCAATGGTTAGTTAGTTTTGGTAGTGTCCACTTTTTATTTCTAGTTGTGTTACTTTATCCGTTTAGATGATGTTCTTCTTGACTATTGTTCATATATATAGTTTTTATATACTGAATGACTATTGTTCATATAGTTTTTATATACTGAAAATTATGTGTTTAATGTCGCATGAAACATGATTTAGATGTTGTTGGTAACTGTTAATTCTGATTATAAAGCACCGTCCTCGTTCTTTGAATAATAAAAATAATATGTAGATTGTTTGGTTTTAATGATTGATATATTGTTTACATATTTTTTTGTATTGTATGGCTAGTTTTAATACTACAATGGAAGATTTGCAAGATGTGCAAGATACACAGGATGTGAAATCTAAAGGTCCATATAATAAATGGTCTGGACCTGAACACAAGATGATATTGCGGCTCCTTGTGGAAGCAATCAATCAGGGTTTCCGTGATGCTAGTGGCAAATTCAACAAATTAATGGTGGAGACAAGAATATTACCAACTATACACAAGCAGCTTGGAACTAACAAAACCTACACCGACTACAAAAATGGGATGAAGATCTTGAAGGGTATGTACAAAAGCTTGTCAGAACTTTTTCGTTTCAGTTCTGGGTTTGGGAGGGATCATATAACGAAGAAATTCACTGCTAGAGATGAAGTATGGGATGACTATTTGAAGGTAAAAAAAAATATAACATAAAATTAATGAATATAGTAGTGCTTATGTATAAAACTAAATTTAGTGATTGTTTTTTTAACAAGCTCATCCAAATAAAACAAATATGCGTGATGCGACATTTGACGATTTCGAAGATTTAAGATTGATATTTGGATCAAATGTGGCCACTGGACGTAATGCTGTGGGATTAGGCGATTCCATTGATGTCGATGCTTCTCAAGTTGGAGACGATGATGAGACACATGATTTAAATCGTGTCCATATAATGGATGATACGCAGGGAATCCCATACGACGAAACATCAATGCTTGACGTTTTCTCATCATTAGAGAAAAGTAGGGCTGAAAAGCTTCCTCAGAGAAAGAAAGCTAGAACTAATGCATTTAGTGCGAACATGGTTATGGATGAAGTGAATACAGTCACAGAATTCGGTAATCAAATTGTTGGCATGATACAAAAAAGATGGGAAAAGGAAGCTGAAGAAAAAGAAGTTGAGAACAAAGCTAATAATGTGTGGGATGCTATCAAAGAAACACCTGATTTGGACATGGATTTGCGTTACGAGACCATGACACTGGTTCATAGCTTAGGTATGAAATCCGGATTCATGCACATGTCTACAATAGAGCGTAAGTGATGGATTTTACAAAACCTTCGTAAATCAAAAGAATGAAGCTCGATGCATTATACTTTAGGATGGTTTTTTCACGTTGGAGCTTTTTTCTTGCAATTCTTTTAGCTACATTATGGGTTTTTAGTTTTTGTTTTAGCAAATGTTTTATGAGCTTTATTTTATTTTATTTTTAATTTGAGACTACTTTCAATTGTGTATTCTTTTCTACAAATAATTAACTATGTCGTCGTCATCACCATCATTGGAGCTCGTTGGTTCTGGTTTAGAATCCTAAGGTTCAATTTTTTTTTATAAAAATCAAAGAACCAAAAAGATAAAGAATACCTATAAACTCAATGTAATTCCCAGAATTAGCTCCCAAAATTCGTTAAATTTCTCAAACTATTATTTTTAAATATTGGAGAAACACATAACAGAAGATATCTATATATAATTATTCCACCTAAAATAAATCTAAAATAACATATTTTTCTTTCCTTGTTTTGATAACTATAATTATAGCGGGCAAAGTCAATAAAGTTTGGCGGGAATTATTTCGAGGTGAAATTAGGTCAATAAATCTGTGTAGAACGTGACCTCTCTCATTCTACATTGGCCGTCGGCTCGTTCGTTGCTTGATTATTCGTGACGTACTTTCTTTTCTCTAATTTTGTGATTTTGCCTCCGTTGAAAAGTTCATTCTCTATATTAGTAATAACCCTTATCAATCTGATTCACACTTTCAATTTTGTCTTATTTTTGTGGTGCTAAAACGTTTTACATAACTATGTATTTGTATAGGATTTTGATAATGGATCATATAGTTCAACAAAATGAAGAGATGCAAGGTAGAAGAAAAAGAATGAGAAATTTTGAATCAGATGTTGATATTATGTTACTGGTTTTGTCGATCCTTGCAAAAATTCGATATTTTGTTTAACAAATACCACGACATATTAGAAAACCAACAACTAGACTTGGGCATGAATACATACAAAATGTGTTGGTTGAAGATCAGGATCATTTTCGACATTTGTATCGCATGTATCCATAAGCATTCTTGAAATTATGTCGTATTTTTCGAGTGAAGATGGGTTTAAGAGATACAAGGAATGTTTCAGTTGAAGAAATGCTTGCCACATTTTTGTTCATCGTTGGCCAAATTTCGAGGGATATTCAGGCTCAAGATAGAGTCAAGAGGTCGAGATTCTCAATAAGTACGAGCTTTAACACAATTTTGAAGGTGTTAAATGCACTTGCTCCAAGCTATATGGCTAAACCTAGACTTGCAGTACCCACAAAAATAAAAGACAGCACACGATTTTATCCTTATTTTAAGGGATGCGGTTATTTTCTTGTGCATTTTTTTTTAACATATAGCAAAATTTTAATATTTTGGTTATAATTTTTTTTAGGATTGTGTGCCCGCTATTGATGGAACACATATCCTTGCAATGATAACAGGAAAAGATACGGCTAGTTACCGTAATCGAAAAGGACAATTATCACAAAATGTTTTAGCTGCATGCAATTTTGATTTAGAATTTATGTACGTTCTTAGTGGATGGGAAGGCTCAGCTCATGACGCAAAGGTATTAGATGATGCCTTAATAAGAAATACAAACAAATTAAGAGTTCCTGAAGGTACCTTGTTTACCATTTGATAAAATAATTTTTTTAGTTATTAATTTTTATTTTATTCAACTTATATTTGTATATTTTATATTTAAGGAAAATTTTATTTAGTTGACTGTGGATTCGCCAATCGTCGTAATTTTTTAGCTCTATTTCGTAGTACTCGATATCATCTACAAGACTTTAGAGGACAAGGTAAAGATCCCATCAATCAAAATGAATTGTTCAACCATCGTCATTCCAGCTTGCGTAACGTAATAGAGAGGATTTTTGGCATCTTCAAATCAAGATTTCTCATCTTCAAATCTGCACCTCCCTTTCCATATAAGACGCAAGCAGAGTTAGTACTTGCATGTGCTGTTTTACATAATTATCTTTGTTAGGAATGTCGTTCAGACGTGTTTCTTCCTGAAGAAGACGTTCTTGAAGAAAATGGTGTTGATGAAAACGGTGATGATGAAAATAATGCGTATAAAGAAGTTCACGGTACTCAAGAATAACAAAGAGTACTTGCTAATAATTGGAGAGCAACAATAGCAGAGAACATGTGGACAGATGCTATGAATATAGAATCATGATGTTATACGTTTTATGTTATATCTTTAAATTGTTTTTTATTATTTATATTGACTTGTTGAGACTTGAGACTATTGGTTATTGATTGATCATTAAATTGAATCAAGAGGTAGAGCTACGTCCAAAAAAAATGTGAGTCATGTAACACACCATACGTTTGGGAAAGGAAAGGATAACAAAAGAGAAAAGCATAGTTATTAATAAAAAGAGGAATATCGTTGACTTCTTCTTCTTTTTTTAATAAATTCTCCCAAATCCTTTCAATAAATCTCACCAAATCACTAATGATTTTTCTTTTTTTAAAAAAAAAAAGAAATCAAACAAATCAATTCAACCATCCTAAAATTTTACTCAAATCACTCCAAGACCTAAAATATAGAAATTCCACCAAACCCCTCCAAATATTTAATTCAATACACCCCCCTAAGAGGTCTTATTCATAGAAAGATTTTTAGTGAATATCTAAATAAGATTTCAATTAGCATTTTCAAACTTAAAAGTTTATATCAAGTAAATTCAAATAATGCTTGTTTATTTTATTAAAAAAAAAATTCAAATAAATTTTACCATTCACTACATTTAACAAATGCTAGCCTACACCAACACATATTGTCATTGGATTGCAAAGAATGCGAGAGTTTATGAAGTCACTTCCTCTACAACCAATGTCAATCTTGATTGATATAATTCGTTATTTGTTATAATATTCATTTTAAAGTAATTAGTTGAAAACGTTCATATGTTTTTGTAAATCATTCATGTAATTATAACACCATGATCATTTTTTATTTTTATTTAATTGTGTTATATTAGAAATCATCAGTTAAATTAATGAAAATAGCATACTTTACGATAAATTAATTTAATTACAATTAAAATAATAATTTTACTCCAAAATATGAACTATGAAAATAAATAAATATTTATATCGAAATCTTAGTAACTACAAGACACAAAAATTACATGGTCACTAAGACAAACTGTAACTCTTAAAATTATTTTTCGATTATAGTGGATGTATAGATAACATGTACTCCCTTTGTTTTTAAATATAGGATGTTTTCGAGATTTCTATTTGTTTCAAAATATAGGATGTTTACAATTTTCTATGCAACTTTTAAATTCATTTCATATTTATGATCATTTGAATTCTACAATCTTTTATATCATTGGTTGAGTTTTATTAAAATAAGTATTTATTGATAGTTGTTAAAAGTAAAAACAAAATTTCTTAAAGTATGTTCTTTTAACTAAATCATCCTATATTTTGAAACAGAGGGAGTATGTATTTGCTATTCCCTTAACTTTCAATTAAAAGTTGAGTAAATTAAACCATTATTGACTGTTATAATAATTATTGCCTGTAAATCATAGGTAAATATGTCATATATCGCAGAAATATAAATAAATATTAACATATTTAGTACTTTTTGTTATAAATTTACATGAATGTGAACAATTTGGTTCTATTATTTCGACATATTTATTCCCTAATTTTAATTTTATCTCTACTTTCAAAACAACATCGTTTGTTGGGAATTGTTGTATAAACTACAAAACAAAACAAACCAAAACTGTATCGTTTTGTCGCCAACTCAGTACTGTTAGACGGTTGGCTAACACCGTGTAAATCGAAGTAGGAAACGACTAATAGACTTACGGTTCACGTAGGTAATTTTTTTTTTGTTAGTCTAGGTTAAAAATGCATGGTATTATTCTTTGGTTTTAAAAACGTATTCTACAAAATGTTTGAGTTAATTTTGGCCGTTTTTCTGTAATATTTTCAATGATCGAGTTTTTTCTTGTTTTCTATATTTCATCATTAAAATGTTGTGAGATTGAGAACATAAAGCATGAATTATCCAAAAAATTAGATAAATTACGAAAAACACTTTCACCAAAAGTGAATAAAAAATATGTTGCAGAGCTACACAAATCATGTATTTAGGAGTAGGTTGAGTGTAGTCAAAGAAATGAAAACATTTCAAATTACATAGAAGTAAAATTAGTTTAAAAAAAAACTAAATGTGTTTAATTTAGATATATATGTATTTAATGTACCAATCGAGTAGATGTTTGAATCAATTTAATGGTGGGTTTCATTGGGTAGCTTTTTTATAGTTATCATAGTCAAGAATTTTCCTCTATTTTCTGAACTTTATCAACATCTCCTCATTCTTTGTTGTCTTTCTTGCTTAGCAAAAAAAAAAAAAAAAGAAACAGAGATACACAATCAAGGATAATGAGTAGTATAAACACAAATTATGTAAGATCTCTCTGGCCACAGGTGATACAATCGACCCCTTCAACAGCGATGATGTCATGTATATTCTTCACGCATTTAAAAAAAAAAACAAAATCACTTATTAAACCCTTTTTCCTATATTTGTATATTAAAAAAAGCGATTAAACTAGTGATAGTGAATCATGTAACAAGGAGAAAACAAATATTTACCTGAAAAATATTCATTAGACGCTCATGATACTCTTGTAGATAATTTTCAGCAAATCCGAATGATGAGTCCCTTACGAAAATATAAGTACACCCTTGAACACTTTTAGGTGGATAGCGGCAAAGGGAGACGGTATAGGCAGCATCTTCCGCGGTTTCAATTTTGGGAAACATGATACCATCGAGGCCTAGATCGAGTTTTTTTTTTGTCTACCCTGACGTTTTTTCCAGTATGCGTATGACGCTAGATGAACCTGATGCTTTTATACCTCGGATGCAATGTAAAGCATCCATGACATCACCTGGACCATGCTCCAAATCTATGATAATTACGTCGTAATCTGCTATGGCAGCTATCTCCGCCATCGTGGGAGATACGGAGAAGAGAAGCATTCTATAAAGTAGTTTTCCT